AAAATATGAACTGTTTCGAATGTACTCTAGTTTAGATTTTTGTTAATTGCTGGTCACGGTCATTTGTTTGGTCTAGGCCTCTAGGAACTGTTCTATTTCAAAGGGACATTACTGAGTCTGGTATCTGGAGGGACAAGGAAAAACTACTATAACAATACAGGTCTATGGCCAAGAGTTCTTTCTATGCCACACACTTAAAGGGCCACACACTTCTAGGTTTTGAGCCTTCTGTTACTGCATGGTCACTTGTCTTCTTTGATACTGGTACTCAGTCAGCATCACCCCATTTTTCTCTCTCTGTTTTTGGTTCTTTTCTAAAAGTTCCCAACCAAATCTCAGAGACTTGCTTGGACAAATGAATGGTTTTTAATTGGGCTTTAGTGAATCTTGCAAGAGCATCTCTGTTCAGGTACATGCGTTTCCTTTTAGCATAACAGTGACTGTTTCTGCCTTTATTCTCCAAACACACAGGAAATTGTTTGTTACCGTGGCCCATGTGTATGAGAGTAGAGCTGTGCTCTATAGGTTTTCAGTAGCTGAGTTTTAAAAAGTAGATGATCAGACTTTTCTTTCGAGGCCTGTTTAACTTTGGAGCGGAAGAGGTCACTACATTCCTAGCATAGCTGCTTAATATCAGTTTTTTCCAAGTCTGGCTGTCAGACAAAATGAATTTTGAGTGCCAAGATTTTGAGAACATTCATGGATGGTGTCTTCCTCATTTGGGGTGACTAATGACCCTAATGCTCATCAGTTTAGGGAGACACATACCTAGTCTAGAGGCCCCCGTGTTTCCCCAGTACTCCTTTTCATCAGAAAGAAAAATATCATGAACCTACACACACTAGTACCATTTGATTTAGCCTGATCCAAAGCTACTATGGAGTCTGTACCTTTCCAAAGAAATTTGCATTCTATTAATTATAATAGAACCTATAGGAATAGCACAGTGGTTATGAATCAGGCTGTGAACTCAGCAGTTCAAAACCACCAGCTGTTCTGCGGGAGAAAGATGAGGTTTTCTGCTCCTGTAAAGATTTACAGCCTTGGAAACCCTGTACAGGGTCGCTATGAGTTGGAACCGACTCTACGGCACCTAACAACAACAACATAGGAATTGTAAAAAGTCATATTTATACACATACAGGAGATGATTATTTATTCTATAGCCTGTACTCATCATGCATGTGGATTTGAAGACCATTTGGGTTTCCTCTTGGGCCTGTGGGTGGCACAAACTATCTATGTTGACTACCAACTGAAAGATTGGCAGTTTGAACCCACCCAGCAGTGTTTTGACAGAACAGCCTGGCAACTGGCTTCTATAAAGATTCTTGTTTTTTGTTAAGTGTCATTGAGTCAGTTCCAACACATAGTGACCCTGTATAGGGTTTCCAAGGAACAGCTGGTGGGTTTGAAACATTGACCTTTCGGTTAGCAATCTAGTGCTTATCCTAGAGCGCCACACCAGTACTCCTCTGTAGAGATTATACCCAAGAAAAAAACGCTATGCAGCAGTTCTACTCTGTAACACTTGGGGTCACTGTGAGTCGGAATTCACTTGATGGTAATGCATTTGTGAGGATTGAAGTCAGGGCTCCCGTCCAGTCAGATCTGCTGGTTCCGCCCCACAGCCCCAGCTCACCACTCTTCATCACTCCTTTGTACTCCCTGAAAGGCTGACCACTTCTCTGTCTCTGTTTCTGCAGCTCATGAAACAGAAATCTTTTATGACTACGCAGATGTCCCTCTATTCCCCGAGACAGCCCAGCTTATTGTGGGACCTTTCTTTCTCCTCAAAGAATCGATCATGTGCTGATGACAGTGGCACTGATGTCTCTAAGAAACTTTGGGGACCTAACAAGTGGAACAATTGGAAGTAGCGCTGAAAATGGAGACTTTCTTTCACATAACAACAATCGGCCCCCTCTCCAGTTTTCCCTGAGAGTCTTAGCGAACTTACTCAGTTGCTTCTCTGCATTTGCTCAGCTAGCCTGTAACCACTGCCTTTCCTCTGCATGGATGGCTTCCTCGGTCATTTTGTACATTCAGGAGACCAGGGCCCTGGATTGTAATCCAAGAAACTATGTTTTTAATGCTTATATTAAGCATACCAGCAGCAATGATTTACTAACTATACCTCAAAAAACAAACAAACAATGGTACCTCAAATTCTGGATGCTTAAAGACCAACCCTCCACAATGAAATAGATTCCCCTCTTCACCCTCTGCCCCAAACTGAAGTGCATGACCCCTGAGTCAGAGGCCTGCCTGAGCAGGAATCTATGTCATGGGACTTGAATTAATTGAAGCTCATTGTTCAGATAGCCGTCCCAAGGATCTTCTGCTACCATATGAAGTGATTTAGGACACCTGTAGGTAACTGTTGTTGTTGTTGTTAGGTGCCATCGAGTCGGTACCAACTCATAGTCACCCTATGCATAACAGAACGAAACATTGCCTGGTCCTATGGGCCAGCCTCACTATTGCTGCCACACTTGAGCACATTGATGCTGCCACTTTGTCAATCCATCTCACTGGGGGTCTTCCTCTTTTTCTCTGACCCTCTACCTAACCAAACATGATATCCTTCTCCAGTGACTGGTCCCTCCTGACAATCTGTCTGAAATATAAGAGATAAAGTTTGTCCATCCTGGCCTCCAAGGAGCACTCTGGCTGCACTTCTTCCAACACAGATCTGTTGATTCTTTTGGCCGCCCATGGCACTTTCAATATTCTCCTCCAACACCCTAACTCAAAATCATCAGTTCTTCTACTAACCAAAAATTGGGTGGCTAGAATTCACTCAGAGGAGCCTCAGAAGAAAGGCCTGGGATCTGCTTCCATTCTCTCCATCCACCACTGACCCTTAGAGTAAAATGTGTAGGTAATTTTTGAATCTCGAATCATTCTTTCAGGAGTCCTGTTATGGCACTGTGGGTTAATGCACCAGACCAGCAAAGCCATTTGAACTGCAAGGTTGGCGGTTCAAGCTCACCAGCTGCTCCTCAGAAACCCTCTACAGGGTCGCTATGGGTCAGACTAGACTCAATGGCACTTCACAACAATAACAACAATCATTCTTTCCAGCCAGTGGGTCATATTTCAAGGTATAGAAACTCTAATTTACTAAATGATGACCTGAAACATATGAGGACTTCAACAAATTCGTGGAAAAATTGAATGAAAAGATAATAGATTTCTTTTTTTCCCCAGAAACTTTTTGAAGCTCCCTCATAGTTAACAAAGCCATACTCAGAGTCTTTTATTATAAGATATTGCTGATGGGCGGAGGGGGCTGAGTTAGTGAATGTGAAAAATATTTAGTAGTGTTTTGTCCAACTGTGAAGAACATTGTGTGCCATTCAACATTCTTTTTATTTTTTCCTCTCATGTATGATAAAGTGTATATAAGATTTTCTGTTAGGGGAAAGCGGTAACTGCTTAGGTATTACAGGATTATAATAACAAAACACCCTTCATTTTTCTCCTTCACTCACAGCTCTCAGACAGCTTTCCCTGAGAAATATTCCTTGAAACATAAGAAAAATAATGTAGTCTGGTATCTAATAGTTATTCACCTTACAGAACTAAAGTTCTAGGACTGGTTTCAATTATTTTCCTATTTATAAAGAGTTACAAATCCATTAGTTCGTCAGTCCCAAGTGCTAAGGGTATTTATCTTTTCAGATTTTTATTATTCTACTTTTTCTTATTCAAATAGCCAGAAATGAATTTTACACACACACACAAACCCCTAAAAAAAAAAAGATGAGTAATGAATGCATTGTTAAATCTAAAAATTACTTTGCTTTTAAACAGAAAGGATCCCATTTTGGATTTTATACTAAAAGAAAACACTTTCTCTCTGGACCAACACCAGCGTGCCTTTAGATTTGTGGGCTTCTGTGATGGTCTGGTAAAGGCCAGCTCAACAGTTCAACCAACAAGAACCCCAGTGGGGTCCAGTCAGGATTGCTTCCCTTAAGAAGAGGGACCAGCACAGAAGCCCACAAATGGATAGACAACACTGTCACATGGGACTCCCAACCAAGAGGCTGTGTGTATGTGAATTATGTGATATGATGTGTGTGTGTGTGTGTGAGTCATTTGTGTGGTGTGTGTGAGAATCGTGTGAGAGTCGTGTGTATACGATGTGTGTGAGAGAATCATGTGATGTGATTGTGTGTGTGTGAGAATCATGTGATGTGTGTGTTTGATGTGTGTGAGAATCATGTAATGTGATGTGTGTGTGAGGAGCTTGTGAAGTGATGTGTGTGTGAGGAGCTTGTGAAGTGATGTGTGATGTGTGTGTGAGTCGTGTGTGTGATATGGGTGAGAGAGTCGTTGTTATGTGATGTGTGTGTGTGTGTGAGAATCATGTGATGTGTATGTGTGTGTGTGTGAGAGAGAGAGAGACTGTCCATTCCCCTCGTTCTGGGTCAGCATTAGGAGAGACTGGTTCTGGGACTGAACGGGTTTTCTTTTAATCCTTATTGTAAGGCCCACGAGCGCAGGCTGTTGTTCCTCACACTTGACATTGGCCCGAGGTCCTGAAAGGGCAGGAGAGCCAGGAGAGGCTTTTCCTCCTTTCTATGGCCCCCTTTCATTCTCTCTGCCCTGAACACCCCCAGTGCTGACCTCCACCCACTCCCAATGGGAAGGGGCCTTGGCGCCCCCTGGCTGCTCACCACTGGATGATGGCGCTGTGCAGGCCCCGGCTGCTCCCGCCGCCTGAGTGTGAGGCCAGCACACTTTCAGCCATGGCTCGCAGCTCTGGCCGGGCCGCGCAGCACCGGGGCAGGGAGCGGCCGTGGGCGGTCGGCGAGCCTGGGCTGCACCGGTCTCCGCCGCGCCGTCGCTCCTAGGTGTTTACTTTCGAGGGCAAGGGGCGCGAGTCGAGGGCGCGGGGCGGGGACTCAGCGTGCCTGCCGTTGGCTGCATGGATTTGACCTCGGGATCAAAGGATCCCAGGTCAAAATAAACAAGGCGCCCTTCCCAGCTATCCAACAAACAAAGACACAAACAAAAACACATTCAAATCAGGCCTGGGGTTTTGATCAACGGTTGTGAATGGACTGCACGTGAGAGTTGCTTGTACAGTTTTCAACAATGTTGATGCCCAAGCTCCATCCCTGATGACCTTTCAGGATCTTTTGTGAACTGAGATAAGGTCAACCCACCCAAACAACTGCAATGATACATAGATTTGGACATATAGCCACCCTATATAGGATTCCGGAAACTGTTAGTCTTTTGGGGAGCAGACAGCCTTATCTTTCTCTCACAGAGTAGCTGTTCAGTTTGAAGTCAGCCTTGTGATTAGCAGCCTTGTGCTTATCCGACAGCTCCCCCAGGGCAGTTGCTCTAAATCACTTCATGGTAACTGAAGGTCCTTAACACGGTGTAGATCATTTTAGTAGTGAACCCAAAGGAATATTAAGTTCCATGCCAGAATTCAGAGATTCTGATGTAACTAGACCTGGGGGATAGCCTGGGCCAATGGCAATTCCAGTGTGCCTCTGGTACTGAGAAGCACTAGTCCTAGGAGTCTGTAAAAAGCTCAGGACTGAAAAGCTCTGGGAATAGAGCCAGGCATCAGGATTTTTACCAGCATCCCTGCCTCCAAGTGAATTCTAGCACACACTGGTTTAGAACTTTTGCCCTAGGGTGATCCTGAAAATCTGTAGCCAGACTGTTGCAGTCCTTGTCCCCAACTGCTGTTTGTATTAGTGCCATTGCTGGGTAACATCAAAGAGATACTCTTGCAGAGCGTCAGTTTCCTTATGGAGAAATAGTGTAGTTTTTGGAGTAAATTAATAAATACACAGTAAAGCATGGAGAATAATTGTTCTTAAGTGCTAATGAGTCAGTTCTGATTCATAGCAGCTCTGAATAGGGTTTCCAAGGAGGATATGGTGGGTTTGAACTACCAACCTTGTGTTTTGCAGTCCAGTGCTAATCCTACAGCACCATACCAGGACTCCATGGGGGCATAATTGTTGTTGTTGTTAAGTACTGTTGAGTCGGTTCCCACTCATAGTGACCCTGTATAGGATTTCCAAGGAGCAGCTGGTGATAGGAGCTTATTAATACCAACCAGGGGCTTCTGGGTGGCCCTAAAAGTTAAGTGCTCTGCTGATAGCTGAAAGGTTGATGACTGCAATCCATACAGAGGTGCCTCAGAAGAAAGTCCTGGCAATCTATTCCAAAGAAGCTGCTGCTGAAAACCCTATGGAACACAACTCTACTCTGCCACATATGAGGTCACTATGAATTGGAATTGACTCCACAGCAAATGGTTTCATGCCATCCATTACTAAGGCTACAGATGGTTTAATGTCTCTTTATAAGGATTTCCTAATCTAGATGGAAAACACACTTGAGAACCACTTCTGGAAGCAGGGCAGAGACTCATTCAATAAATAGCACTAACTGCCTCCATGTGCCATCACCAGAATGTGGTTGTTGAGGCTCAAG